ATATGTAGCATTGATGGGTATCCCGAGTTGCTAAGATGTCCACTCTTAAATCAGTAATCACCCTAGCCAAGGTACGCATAATGATCAAAGTATCGATTTTTACTGGTAATTTACAGCTTTACATTGGATTCATAGATTATGAACTTTTGACAGCACCGATAGGGAAACTCTCAGGAAACTGATGAAACACTAATGGGATATAGCAGAAACATTTTAAATTTAGTAACAGCAACATCTAAAGACATGAAATGTCAAGTTCTTCAAGAGAGAAAGCTATCAGAAAGATTTGAAATAAAAACAGGTGTGCGACAAAGACATCTTTTGTAGCCTCTGATATTTTTTACTGGCAAAAGAATGGATTATGAAGACAGCAACTACTAATACTAAGAATGGAATTCAGTTGACCACAGCAAAACAGCTTAATAACCTACATACACATCGCCGATATTTCTCCTCTGTCCCTCTCACGAAATCAGCTGCAAGAGTAAGTAATATTCTTAATGCGATATAACAACAATTAAGTTTAAAAATCCAAACGGGAAAGACAAAGATTAAAGGAAATCAACTAAGCAAACGGTAGTCTGGCTCCAAGATTTGAAGTCATACACTTATTTGGTTAGTAACGAAGATAGAGATATTAAGATACAAAAACAAAATGCAAGATAAGCTTTCATAGAACTAGGACATTTGAGGAGGTGAAAAGAAACTAAAACTAAAACTAGACCTAATGGGTTGTTTTTTAAATTTTAACTTCAGATCAGTACTGTTATATAGAGCGGAAACACGGATAACAACTAATACAATTACTAATAACGTACATAAATTCCTTATCTGGTGCCTGTTTAGAATAGAGGGAATTTAATGATATGACAGAATCACTAAGGTTGAGCTTTGTCAGAGAACTAAACAAGTTCCACAGGATCAAGAGGTTAAGAATAGACACTTGCGTTGGATAAGACGCACGCCGAGAAAACCTAGGAACAACATAACTAAAACATTTTTGCATCAGGACCACACACACACACACACACAAAACTTTTAAAAAATAAACAGAGAAATGAGCTAATGAATGCACTAAAAAATAGTAGGGAGGACTTGGGAGTGAGCGCATTTATAAGAACTGCAAAATAGAACGATTTGGCGTGAGTTGGTTGAGGGTCTATGAAGCACGGGGGCGATACAAGGCAGAGAAAGGAATGAAGTAATCAGTTACAACGTGTGCACTTTACGCTAACACCAGGTCGGCGTAGGGGTATCTTCAATTGTTCAGACACAAGAACAGGGAAAATGTTTGTTTCTGGATTAGGAGAATTGATGATATAGACTTTAAACGTGTGTGTCACTTGCGAGTGTTATAACTTGATCATTCAAGAATTCAATTCTTTAGTTTAAAAAAAAATGGTTTCCAAAAAAAAAAAAAAACTGTCAATTTAATTATGAGTCATTTATTTACTGATTTAAATGAACAACCAAAACTATGGCACAATTAACAGGTCAAACAATACATTATTTCCATGAACCAGTAATTATACAGTCATTAACTAAATTACAAAATCAATTATTTTAATGAATCATCATTCGATAAGTCAGTCAACTAGTTACTAATTTCAAGGAATAAACGAATGATTGAATGAATGAAACAGTCTTGCTATAAACAAATCAATTATTTCAATCATACAATCAGTCATTCAAGCAATCAGTCAGCCTGCTACTACTGTCGGTAAGCATAGATTTTAATGTTTGGCCATCTCATACGACCACCAAAATCAAAGATCATTTCAATGTTCATAACGCACTAATCCGAATGGTTAAACATCCGAGGGTTTATCTTTTTGCATTTCCTTTGCTCGTCTTCCATCAGTTTTTGCCAGTGTACAGAGATGTTCAGTTCGGAATTGACGGTTCCGACAAATCTGGGTTCGTCGATAACACAGCATTCAGGTCAAGCCCATATTGGCTTCGCCTCCCCCCTTAACAGCCAGGGAAGTGTCTCCATGCTGGTGGAACCCGTTGTCATCTGGCTAACTTCTGGTCTTGCCCCCCCCCCCCTTCTACCCGGGCCTAGAGCACCTAAAACCCACAGACACCACCAGCTACATGATTCTATCATAGTAAGAGGGTTTTCAGCATCTTCTATTTTACCTATTACCCACAGCAAATGATAACCCCAGTTAGTAAGGCACATTGTTATTGAGAACACCCTTTGTCGATCATCGAAGCACACTTGCGGCTTCAGGAGGTGACTAGGAAGTGACGCATTAAACACCTTCGTTCCTACAGCGGAGGCGTGGATGACTGAGCAATAAAGAAACCTGGGTGGTCATTCAGAAGATTAAAGTTCGAATTATCGGTAAGGTCAGGAATGTTGTTCCACCTCAGAAGTAAACATACAATTCTAACCTGCATACATATATCCACAGGTTCAAAGAGGCGCATCCCCCCCCCCCCCCTTTCCCCCGCCCCCCCCCCTTTGTTTTGACACCGCAAAGCTGGTGAAAATAAGCAGTAATAATACCAACCAAGTAGATTTTTGACGAAACTCAAAATGTAATTTCTGAACATTCATATGGTGTCTGTGTACTCTTGCCAACATCACGACGGTCATCTTTACTTCCCAGGACAATACCTGATACCAAGAGTAGTCTGCGTTGACATGGGAGCTAAGGTCAGTTTGTGGAAAATAATCCTTAACGATGCGGATTTGAGTTCTCTACCCTCAGGCCGGTAGGTGAGCATGAAGCCACAACGCTATCGCAACTTCCGCTAATAAATATCTTCTTATGCGGCGTTGGTAGTAGTGAATGAATGAATGAATGAATCGATCAATAAAACAGTGAATGAATGAATGAATGAATCAGTCAAACAATCAATAAATTAATCAATATTTCACATCACTGCATTCGGGACATTCCTACAGGTGCTTTGTTTCCTTTTTTCAGTAAAAGAAGATTTGACCTGCTTATAGTACCAGTTGCAACCTGATTAAAAGTCTTCCTCTTTTTCTCCCTCTGTGTCAAAATATCTTCCAGAACTTCTACACCCCCTCCCCATTCATTGGCACCTTTCCGTCTTTCCAGACGATAGTGTTATATTGCGCTATGAGGAGGCATGAGACTCACAGCCCAGGGCGATGGCGTGTGTGACTAGCAAGACCCGTCCGTGTCAAGAAAAGTCATCCACAATGATAGCATGAGATTTCAGGACCATTGTTAACAAAATTTCCTCCTCTCCATAGCACAAAGCCTGGGCAGTATTGTAGAGACGATATTTTGCCCATGCATAATGATCCCTCCCCTGACCTGCCTTGTTTACTCCAAGGGAAAGGTAAAACTAGTAGGTTTGGAACGAGGCAGGTTGCAAAAGCTGCCGGATCAGAAGAGCAGTGCTCTATCTGTCCGCATGTCAGAGCTTCCCTCCTAGACCAGCTGCCAGCCAAGGCGAAGGGCCTGGTCTGCCCTGCCGTAACACACAGTTTTCAGGTTGCATTTCCTCTTCCTAGGATAAGGCTAGTATCCTCCCCCAATGTGCTCCTCCACCTGAAGCTGTTGGCACAATATGGGATGTTGGATTTGTATACCCCCTCCCCACACCTGCTTGAATTATTATTTCAACGTATGGATTCTCTATATGTTTTACTGCATTGTACACTTGATACCAGCGAGTCTTCCGGCAGCGGCAAATCTATCAGCCTGCATGTTACCTCGCACACCGGAATATTCTGAATTTAAAATATACTATATGCTCCTGACCTTTTATCAAGTAATGCAGCCATGGTTGTGTGCATGATTCTGTTTCATGACGTAAAGGTCTTTTTACACCTCAGTGGCACATAGGACCTATGAGTCAAGCCTCATTTGTCTATAGACCAATGGATGATATGGTCAACACGACACTAACCGCTTTTACTTTCTGGGACTGCAACTGGTACCCATTTAAGGCTAGGTCGATCTGGGAGCCAAGATCATGCTTCTGGCTCATGACCTTTCAATCACTTATGACACGGATGATCGTCCACGTCATGATGTCAAACTGACCAACATTTTCTCTCTCGGTCGCAGGCTGCTTCTTTTCCCCTGCAACTTTTCTTTCATCTTGCTATACTACAGTTTTATGTTCCTCATGACATGACCAAAAAATGAAGATTGTTTCCCTCTGATGTGAGCAATTAATTATCATCGTGAGTCCAATTATTTTTAAACATCTTCAGTGCTCTTTGTTTCCCTTTGTCCACGGTGTTCTCGTCGTTCGTCCATAAAACCACATATTTAGCACTTACACATTCTGTTTCGCTAATTGGCTAAATGTCTTTGCTTCTTCACTTCCGTTTATCGGGAACGGAACTATATAACTCATAGGAACGCATCTTCAACCTCAATTTGACAAATAAAGATTACATAGAAAATTCTTCATTTTATTAAATGCTGCCTTTGATTGAACTATTTTACATGTAACTTTTAAATACATATTCTATCTACTGTTATCTACTAATCAATATACGTATAACATATTTCTTCTTCTTCTTCTTCTTCTTCTTCTTCTTCTTCTTCTTCTTCTTCTTCTTCTTCTTCTTCTTCTTCTTCTTCTTCTTCTCCTTCTTCTTCTTCTTCTCCTTCTTCTTTTTCTTCTTTTTCTTCTTCTTCTTTTTCTTCTTTTTCTTCTTCTTCTTCTTCTTCTTCTGCATCTTCTTCTTCTTCTTCTTCTTCTTCTTCTTCTTCTTCTTCTTCTTCTTCTTCTTCTTCTTCTTCTTCTTCTTTGTTCACCAGATGTTAACTCCGGCGGAAAGTCCTGGTTGTTCGACGATTTGGATTGTGTCTTTATGCCCGGACCTGCGTTTTGCGCGTTCATCGGCTGTACTGGCTTTTTGCAGCTGGGTTGTTCCTTACCGCTCGGACAGAAGCAATCCAACTTTGAAGGAAGTTCCCAGTTAGTTTACTTCTACGACATGCTTGCCATAACTGGGCCCCAGAACTAACACGGAGAATAACTTATTTAAATAACGTTCATCTTTCCGTTGTCCTTTTTTCACAGTAACGTATCCATTTTAACACGGTGCCCAGACGATGGGGAAAATGTCTTTTAAACAACGCGTAGCTAGAGTCTCTTTCAATTGACTTCAGTAACGGCTCTTTGCTCTCTGCCCACTTCTCCAGTGTGGTCTGTGCAGGTCCTTGTCTGTGAAGATCTCGAAGCTGTTCTACCACTTGTCGCTGGAAGATGCACATTGTGTGAAGCATATCGTTGTGGAACTTGACAAACCTGGGTCATTAATAGGAGTTGCGTGGGAAAAGAGGGGAGGGGGCGGGGGGGGGGGGGGGGAGATCCACATGTTTTAATGTTGAAAATCAAACAGCATCTAAAATAAATGTTTAAAAATTGTACTTACTTAATGTAAAATACAATTAAGAAAAGAAAATAAAGAGACGATAATTGTAGATGGATTGCTTAAAACCATAATTGTTTTGAGCATTTGGGTCTGAAGGTCAACAAATAACTCATTATTGAATGCAACATTCGCAGGGTCAAAGAAATGGAAGCAGACCAACAACATATGAAGAAGGGAATAACTAATGTTTCAGCTAATGTGTTGTATTGTAGCCTTTTCCACAATTGCTGTTGGCTACAGTAGATATGTGTATCAATTGATGTTTCTGGAAACTTCACATGGTGAGACCCATATATCTGTGACGTGCTATTTTCGTAAGAATATTCGAAACCTCAGAAAAACAATCAAAAAAACTCCTGCCTAAGACAGCATACTCTGGCAGGTCGCTGACCGTTTTACACAGCGGTTCTCAACCTGTGGGTCGCGATCTCTTTAAGGGTCAAGCGACCATTTTAAAGTGGCCACCTAAGACCATCGTAAAACACATATTCACTGAAGTTATGAAGTAGCAACGAAAATAATGTTATGGCTAGGGGTTACACAAATTAGGAATTGAATTAAAGGGTCGCGGCATTAGGAAGACTGAAATCCAATGGCTAAACACGCTCCCCAAATTAAAAGTCAAGGAGCTGCACTGGTCAGGTTTATTGTTAACAAATAAAAAAAAATTCTTCCTATGTATAACACTATTTTTTTTTTTAAATCATTGTGTTAAGGTTTAGACTATACAAAAGCATTTGACTGTGTGAAGCATGAAGAAGTAATCAAACTGTTAGAAAAATTAAACATTGATGGGAAAGATCTACGAATAATAAAGATTATCTTTTGGCAGCAAACAGCAGCTATAAAAATTAACAACCGTTTAGGTACATTTCAAAGCATAAAGAGGGGCGTACGACAAGGATGTGTACTGTCACCTGATTTGTTTTCAATATACAGTGAATATATAATGAGAGCTTTAATTGGTATGCCCGGAAATGTGGTTGGTGGGCACAATATAAACAATTTACGTTATGCTGATGACAAGGTCTTGATAGCAACAAGTCAGAAAGAACTACAGGAAATGATAGACACTGTGATGTTAGAAAGTGGAAGAATGGGCCTCAGTTTAAATAATGGGGAGACAGAAGTAATGGTGGTATCAAAGAAATGAATTATTCCTAAATGTGTAATAAAAGTTGATGGTGTTATTTTAGGACAAGTACAGACATTTAAGTATCTGGGCACATGGATAACAACAGATGGAAGATGCATAACTGAGATAAGAAATAGAATAGGACAGGCAAAAACTGCATTTTATCAAATGAAAAACATCTTGTGCAATATATCCTTGTCATTGAGAGTTAGAAAAAGAATTCTTGCTTGCTACATACATCCAGTTTTAACATATGGCTGTGAATCCTGGAAAATCGGTAGGCAGGCCAAACAATTTCTGGAGCCTTGGAGGTGTGGTTTTACAGTAGAATGCTTAGAATACCTTGGACAGCCAAAAAGAGCAACCAAGAGGTTTCGAAAGAGGCGGGAGCCCGAAGACAACTTATCACAGACATCAGAAGGAGACAGTCATCATTTTTCGGCCATGTTATGAGAAGAGGGAAAATAGAACATGTTGTGACCACTGGAATGATATGTGGAAGGAGAGATAGAGGAAGACAACGAGAGAAGATGCTTGACAGTCTTGTTGCATGGCATGGAGGTGTGTCGGTACACGAACTGATACATGCTGTAGGAGATCGCAGATTATGAAGAGGCATGATTGCCCACGCCAGTCGTCAAGGCACCTGATGATGATGATGATGTTTAGGTTTTTTGTTAACTAATAAAAATACTGCCTATGTATCACACTATTTCTCATTATGTTTTTATTATTGTGGTAAGGTTTATTATTAACAAATAAAAATAATGCCTATGTATAACACATTTTTCAAATTATTATTATTGTTTACTTAGTATAGTTAGGGACTATTTTCCACGCCTTCAGGCGTACTGGGCACATAGGGCTAGTTTTTTTAATTATATACACTATTCGTCACTGGGTGGGTAATGTGATCACGCCGCATGCCTTTACTTACCAGGACTGTACCTGGTTCAGTTTTGAAGAGAACAAAAATCGGTTTCGCCAGGACCCGAACTCACGACCTCCCGAGCCGCAGGCGAGCTTTTAGCTACTACACCACAGTGACTCTCACTTTCTCTAGTAATTTCATGTAATTTTAGCATTTCTAACAATTAAATTTAAATATATATATATATATATATATATATATATATATATATATATATATATATATATATATATATATATCGTTCTAGTGTCATTTGGGCTGCTGTACGAGAGGAGACTGAGGCTTCACCAGCTAATATACCCAAAACTAGCATTGAGTGCACGGCACCAAACTAAACTGGGAAGACGACGCACATTATTTATTCAAGGTTACCTTCTCCGGGTAGACGCCCGCCTGCGGATCGGAATGCCGTGGGTTCGCGTAATGATGGAGCCAGACTTTTTTTTTAATAACCTTGACTCTTAGGTCGACCTTGTCTTGAGTGAGTACTTAGTGAAGTCCTGGGAATTAAAGGCGGCCAGTGTGATGCAGACCACATCAGCCACCAAGTGCCGATTGGTCTATAAAAAATATAGGTCTAGCCCTATATTCCCAAAACGCCTACAGGCGTGGAAAAGTGTCCTTTACCTTTTACCTCTTCAGTCCCATTCAGTTCACCGTGCCTTGACTAGTTTACTCGTAACATGATATGCCTTGTCTCAGCACTTTGTTTATCACGTGAAAGTAAAAAACTCTTTCCCACACCTTTCAGGAGTATTTGGCACACAGGACTGGACCTATATTCTATAGGCCAAGCGGCAGTCTTCGGGTGATGTAGTCAACATCATGACAGCCTCCTTATTTCCCAGGTCTCGCCTGGTACCTCTTTAAGACTGCGTCCACCTGGGTCCTGGCTCCGTTAGGACCCAAACCTATGACCTTAAAATCCACAGGCGAGCCGAATTGGTTCAATAAGTAGCTGTTATAATAAGAAGAAAGTAAAGTAAAGATCCCTTTCCACGCCTTTAGGCGTATCGGGCATATGGGAAGAGCGCCCATATTTTTACAGACCATCAGCACTCTGTGGGTAATGTGGTCAGCATTACGCCGGCTGTCTTTACTTTCCCAGGACAGCCCATCCTGGTACCCATTCTAGGCTGGGTCGACCTGCGACGTCCCATACCACGATACAAATCCATGCAGCCCGCAGTGGGTTTCGATCGCGGTACGTTGGATTACGAGTCAGACTCGCAACGCCATAGCCACGGACGCCGCCTGTTATAATAATACTAAGTGTTACGTTCATTCTTCTGGGGCCTTCTGTGGCAATTCGAACCTCAAGACATTTAATTTACTATAATTATGAGTAGGAAAATATTTGGAAGTCAATGACATAAGAGATACCTACCTGGGACTTAAAGATTTCAACAAAGACTATTTTTTTTTTTTTTTTTTTTTTGAGGTATTATCTAAATCGAGGCTGAGCTGTTTCATGTAAAGATAAATATAAATGTAGATACATAAATATGTGCATATATACAATAAATATAATTAAGACCAACCTCTGTCCGCTATTTTGGCTTCGGTACATCAAATCATAGGCATCAAACAGTCCACTTTCATTATCTATCAACCAGAGTTTGTTCTCCTGTTTTGATAATCGCAAATTTCTGATGGATTCCTCAATAATACTGGGTTTATTTTCCTTATAGGCTCCATCCTGCATACTTGCAACCCTAGAGGGGGGAAAGCCAAGCGACTTTAGCATTAATATGTTGCGTTCACTCACATCAATCTAAAAACTTACGTATATCAGAGTAAAAAAATTAGCATCTACTAGATCAATTTACCCTGGGGAAAACATAAGAGAGAGCTTCCCATTACGGGGGAAAAAAAACTAGACCCACTGCCTACCCAAAAATATGTCGTAAGAGTCGACTAATTAGGAGCATCCTTAGAAGTGCATCTGCTTGAAAGGCAAGGAACCAGCAGTCTGCATACAAATGAGTCAAATCAGTAAAACGGCTGCACGCTCAACACTAAGGTTCTGGAACAGGACTGCAGTCCAAAAGTGGATGAACAACCAGAACTTTCCGCAAGAGTTTACAGCAGGTAAACACGAAGAAAAAGAAGATAAGAGAGAGCTGGTACAATCAATCCTGTACGGTACAGGCTGGTTGATAATTGGAGAGAATTATCCTACTGGGCGTTACCAGTGAATCTGGCCGACGCTCAACACTGAAGAGAAAGGCGAGATGGATGTACAATCAGATACTTACTGGTACCATCGGAACTAGAACCCTTCGCATGCTGCTGAAGATGGGGAAGGAAAGCTTATATAGGAGTGTCGCGATTGCTATGATATCGATTCTTAATTCAACATTTCACATTTGGTTGATACCGACGAGCTTCTGCCACTACCCGGACTACTTGACCAAGGAATTAATTATATGGAAGACAAGCGCGAGACAGGGCGTACGATGATCTCAATACTTTTTTTTTTTTTTCAAATACACGAAAAACTCACTCAAATAAAAGTAACTGACTTGCACCTTTCTGTCTTTCATGACGATAATGTTATATTGCCTTGTGAGGAGGCATGGGACTCACTGTCAGTGGCGATGGCGAGTGTGACTAGCGAGACCCGTTTGCGTTTAGAAAAGTCATCTACGATTATGGTGTCGGATTTATACTTCATCCCGAGACAGCAAAATTAATAACAGTAACAGAATTTATATCAGAAAGAATTATTTTAATCAAGTTGACAGAAGGAAGTAAAACTACAACGATTATTCAGATATATGCACCTTGTAATGATAGTTACTCTGAAGAAGAAAAAGAAGACTTTTACGAGAGACTTACGGACACCATCAATAATGTTAAAGAGAAAGAGGACATCATAGTAATGGGAGATTTTAATGGTAGGGTAGGTAAAAGAAGATCACCATGGGAGAGATACCTTGGCCCATTTAGCGACACAACCACAGATTGCAATAGAAATGGAGAACACCTGCTAAACTTGTGTGCTGAACAAGATCTCTACATTACCAACACATTCTACCAACATCGCCAAAGTCAGGTTAAAACGTGGTACAAGTGGAACAACTTAGATCAAGCGTCACAAATTGATTTTATACTAGTCAGACAACGGCAGAAGAGGAAGGTAAGAGACTCAAAAGCTGTCCCAAATGCGGGACTGGATTCAGACCATCGCCCAGTAGTTATGAACATATGCAACTCAAGTAGAAACAGTCTACATAAACAGAAACGTGAAGAAATCATCAACACTAAGAAATTAGAGGAAGAGAATATCAAACATGAATTTGAACTAGAAATAACAAAGGCTTTTGCAGATATTGCCAAGGAACCAGTAAGAATTGAAGAAGAATGGGATTATTATAAATCAACCATCACGAAGATATTAAAAGACAAGTGTGGTACCAGAAAGACGGGCAAAGGCAAGAAAAAGGGTATCGCTTGGTGGAATGAAGAAGTCAAAGAAGCAGTGTCAAATAAAAAGAAGATGTTTCAAATATGGTTAAAAACAAAAGACGAAAAGGATTACATTAGGTACAGACTAACTCGAAGAGACACCAAGAGAACAATAAAGAAATCAAAAGAGGATTCATGGAAAAAGTATGGTGAACACCTAACACAGCTATGTACAGAATCATCAAGAGACTTTTATAAGAGTGTGAAAGCGATGCGATTAAGAGAAGAAAGCTTCAATCCAACATCAGTCATAAATGATAAAAATGGAAAACCATTATTCAGCCAAAAAGAAATTAAAAAAAGATGGGAGGAATATTTCAAAGAACTTTTGAACCCGTCAAGAGTACATGAAACAGCAGAATTCCATTCAAGGGCTCCAGATCATCTAGAACCACATATCCTGCGGGATGAGGTAGAGAAAGTTATCAAAACAAGTAAAAGACACAAAGCAGCTGGTATCGACGGAATAACAACAGAAGTCATCCAGGCTGGAGGGGACACTATGATCACCTGGCTGGAGAGAATTTTCAATAGAGCATGGGCAGAGAGAAAGGTACCAGTGGATTGGCAAAGATCAGTTGTAGTACCTATCTGGAAGAAAAAAGGAAACAAGAGAGAATGTGGAACTTATAGAGGAATATCTTTACTAAGTCATGTGGGGAAAATGTATGCAAAGATCTTAGAAGGTAGGATAAGAGCAAAGGTTGAACCTCTACTGAGTAAAGCACAATTCGGTTTCAGGAAAGGGCGAGGTTGCACTGATGCCATATTTGCACTAAGACAAGTCTGTGAAAAGACACTCGAATACGATAAAGAGCTGAACGTGGTCTTTGTAGATCAAGAGAAGGCATTCGACCGTGTGGACAGAGATGTGCTGTGGAGAATTCTTGACGATTACGGAGTGCAGGGTCAATTATTAGACAACATCAGAGCCCTCTATGAAAAAAGTGAAAGTGCAGTAAGAACATCTAGTGGTCTTTCTGCATGGTTCAAAGTCACAACTGGTGTCAGACAAGGATGTGTACTGTCACCATTACTTTTCATAACATACATGGATAAGATCACTGTAGAAGCAAACCCAGACGTGTATGCTATAAACGAATTACTTTTTGCTGATGATCAAAGCATACTGTATCAAAATGAATATGATCTACAGGAACGTCTGACTACTCTCAACAACAGCTGTTTACAACATAATATGAGAATCAGAACAGAAAAAAAACAGAAGTAATAAAGATCAGCAGAACACACAGGCCACTGAATATAAATGTTGGAAGTGCCAAAATCAAGCAAACCAAAGAGTTCAAATACTTGGGCAGTATATTTACAGAGGATGGAAGAATGGATAGAGAGATAGAAACAAGAATACAGAAAGCAAATGCTGTCACATACCAACTATCACCTCTGCTTAAACATCCAGATATAACCATGAAGACCAAAAGACAATTGATAAACACCATCTTCATTCCAACACTCTGCTACCAGTGCCAGACATGGACAATCAACAAGACCCATGAAAGAAAAATAGAAGCCTGTGAAATGAAATGTCTAAGAAAAGCAGCGAATAAGACCAGACTAGACAGGATAAAGAACATAGACATTAGAAACACTGTCAAAACTACACAATGTTTAGACTACATAGAACATCAAAGAATGAAATGGTTTGGACATCTAACCAGGATGAAAAATGACCAAATAACATCACAAATTTTCAACCAAAGAAGCTCAGGATATAAGGCAAGAGGAAGACCAAGGAAACAGTGGATTGACGGGGTCTCCGAAACCTGCCAAAAGCATGGCCTCAGAACATCAGATGCTGCCCGCCTTGCTTATGACAGGAACTTGCATCTCCCCACAACGCTTAGCGGCATACGTGGAAGGAAAAAGTAAAAGTAAGTAAAGTAAGTATCTACGATTATATCATGGGATTTCAGGACCATTGTTGTCGACATTTGTGTTTAGTATGTTTCATTACATACGTTCAGCTCTTATCCTTTCTGAAATAATTTCTTCCTTTATTCTCATTCCCTCTTGATGTGCCCCCCCCCCACCCACACACACACACACACACACACACACACACACACACACACACACACACAACAAGGTCTATGGCATTTGGTTCCGATTGCCCCCCTAATACATGTATCATCATGTCCCACTTTCACACATCTTTCTATCGTAGTAGAGATCAGGTTCGACATCTTCTACCCATCTTTAATTCACCATAGAGGATGTCCTTAGGGACCCAGCCACCTAAGCCTTAGTAGACTGAGCATTGAGAACACTGTTTGTAATACCTGCTCTATCCAACATCTTGGCATTTCTGATCTTGTCGTGCCACTTAATGCCAAGTATTCTTCTTAGGCGTCGCATGTGAAAGCTGTTTAGAGGAGTAATTAAAGGACCACCTTTACTCCAGTGGTGCATCGTGCTTATGATGGCAGGCTTATTTATTTTTAATAGACCAATCGGCACTCAGTGGGTGAATATTAAACATCACCTCGGCCACCTTTACTTTAAAGTATTTTACAATAAAGGTCTATGAGTCAAAGTAAATACACAATTTCACGACCCTTTAACTTATGTTTGATCTTCTTGCCGAAGAAAGTATTAAAGCGACAATTGAAGTAGAGTTGATTACTCTAGCAAATGGATGGGACTAGGGGAATGAAGAAAAATGCTTCATCGAAGCAGAAACCAGTATACGTATAATGACAATATAGCACAATTTATTACTGCAAATAATATCAATGCCAGCAATTAACATGTTTATATGTTATGTAAACAATTCAAAATGTTTCAAATAATCGCTTCTAATTATGGGTAGCCAGGCACATAGGCTAGATGTTTGCCTACCTGTCAGATTGTCTTGGGTTTGATTCTTTATCATAGCGGATTTGTTTACTTAGGATCGATCCCATGGGGACAACATTTTAAGTGCATATCTAGAAATGATTCAGCAAGTGAATGTGGTCAGAGTGATGTTGATCACATTACCTCTCTAGTACCGATTATCTATAAATTAATAACTCTAGTATCACATGTCATATGACACATTGGCGTGAGAAGTGTCATTATTGTTTACTTCACTTACCTGTCATAGTTAGCAGTTAGATAATCAAAAATAATCATGGATCCCCACTGAGCAAGAGAGACCACTGTGTCGATGACATGTTCCTGCATAGTATTGTTCCGCCAGCTGCTACTAACGTTTGGTTCCGTTCTGGAATTGCTTGTCGACTTCAAGAACTGGAAGGAACGTTCGTCGATTGGTTGTTTGTCTCTATAAGCTTTAAGCACCAGCGGCGGCATTAAGACTTGCTTTCTGTCAAGAAAGAAAACAACAAAAACTAGAATTATTGAATGAAAATGATTGTGACAAAACGAAAGACAAAAGCAAATGTATAAACATACAACTCTGCAGTTGTATGTACAAAATATACATGATTGGGGATTCCCTTTATCCACTTGTGGTGTAGGGTAAAGAGAGAGGGATAGTACCTCACGGTGAGTGGCAGCCATATCCGTATAGATAGTCCAGGATCCTATTTGGTTCTCATCTCTTTACCTAGCTCATGTATGGCTCCACGAATACCGCTTGTGTACGGCGATGGCCACACCACGGGCAACAGTCTTGGCTGACTGGCTAAACTACATGAGTGAAGTGGGAGTAATATCCTACTAAGGGAGATGTCCATCCCTAGTACACAAAGACTGGGACGGTAAGCAAGGCGGAAGAATCTAATTATGTAGATCAACGGCTTGCAAAGCGAAACAGCAAAGTGTGTGGCACACATGAGGCGTGTTGGGACACGAAGGAAAACATGGCTGGCCTTCGTGGAAAAGATTGGGACCTTACCACGTAGCACCCAAAAACAGTAATGGAAGCACAACAAGTTAGAAAAAGCGATGCAGGTACATCTTGGCCCCCTGGAGTAATGCCTGTTGTAAATACAAACAGGGAAGAGACAAATCCTCTGTTGACTAGGGTAGAGCATAAATTCTTCTGAAAGGGGACATTCTGACAACGCATATCTGAAAAGTAGAAAGAGATGTCTTCGCATTGGCACATGGAATGTTAGAACGTTATATCAAGTTGGAAATTTGACTGTTTAATTTCTGAGGCAAAGAATATGAATTTAGATATTTTGGGAGTATCAGAAACAAGATGGACAGAAGCTAGCTGCCTAAAGAGAGATGATTACATATTTATTAATTCTGGAGGAGAACATCATGAACGTGGAGTAGGATTCTTGATAAAAAGAAATTTAGAGAAGTTTATCAGCGGGTTCTGGGCTCACAATGACAGAATTATATTGATCAAGATCAAGGCAAGACCTTTTGATATTGCAATAATACAGACATATGCACCAACAACTGACTACAGTGATGAACAGCTTGAAGAATATTATGAAGAACTACAACAAACACTGAAAGTTGTAAAATCATCAGAGGTCTTAATAGTTATGGGAGACCTGAATGCAAACGTGGGGAAAAAGAAGCACAAAAATACTGTAGGGCAATTTGGCATGGGATCAAGGAATGACAGAGGAGACAGATTGATACAGTTTTGCGAAGAGAACCAACTCATTATCTGTAATACATTTTTTCAACATCCACCTAGAAAACTGTTTACGTGGAAGAGTCCAGGAGATATAAATAGAAACCAAATTGACTATGTAATGATTAGAGACAGATTCAAAAACAACATAAAGAACGCCAAAGCATACCCAGGTGAAGATATAAATTCAGATCACAACCCTGTGGTAATAAAAATGCAAATTAAACTTAAAAAAGCAGAAATAATAACGCGAAGGTCACCCCACATTGACATATCAGCTTTGAAACAGCCAGAAATAAGCCAGCAGTACCTAGTGGAGGTTAAAAATAAATATGACAGATTAATAGTTGAAAGCATGGAACAATATCGACGGGAGAATCCAGAGGACAAAATTAATACAAAATGGGAATGTTTCAAAACTAGTATAGAAACAGCTAATGCTATCTTACCAGTGAAAGAAAACAAGAAAAATCAAGTATGGATGACTGAGGAAATTATTAACAAAATGACACAAAGGAAGAAAGCAAAAAACACTCCAGAATATTCCTCAATAGACAAAGAAATACGAAATATGTGTAGAACTGCAAAGGAAACATGGATTCAGTTAAAATGCAAAGAAATAGAGGATCTTGAAATAAAACACAGAACCAAGGAAATACATGCAACTTTAAGAAAACTTACAAACAAGGAAAAACATTTAACAGGAAATGGATGTATTAGGGGGAAGGATGAACAAATTATTGTTGATAAGAAAGATATAATAAAAAGATGGACTGAATACACAGAAGACCTATTTTGGGACAATAGAGGTGACAAACCGCCAATCCATAATATTCAAGAGGGACCAAACATATTAAAGTCTGAAGTAGAGAAAGCCATTAAACAGATGAAGCAGGGAAAAGCTGCAGGTCCAGACAACATAACTGCAGAAATATTACTTTTGGAATTGATACTATCTCAGAAATAAGAAGGAGTGCAGAATTTGGATTAGATATAAATTTGAAAAAGACAAAAACCATGATATTTAGCAAAGAAAATAATCAGCTAACAATGAATATCACAGTGAACGGGGTGAAATTGGAACAAGTTAAAAATTTCTTATATCTTGGACAAGTAATAACATGTGACGGCAGAAGTGAAACAGAAGTCAAGAAAAGAATAGGGATGGCCAAAAACATTTTCAACAACATGCAAAAGTTACTGACATCAAGAGAAATAAGCAATACATTAAAAATGAGAATGGTCAAATGTTATGTGTTCTCAACCTTACTGTATGGTACAGAGACATGGACAATGAACAAACAACTGGAAGATCGTATCAATTCTTTGGAGATGTGGATATACAGAAGATTAGGTCGTATTTCATGGAAACAAAAGCTATGAAATACAGAGGTACTGTGGAAATTGGGAATGAAAAGAGAGTTGCTAGGTAAAATAAAAAAGAGACAAGTGAAATATTTTGGCCACATTTAAAGACATAACAGTATTGTAAAGATCATCCTAGAGGGAAAGGTTCAAGGTAGGCGAGCAAAAGGCAGACAGCGTTACAAGTGGGAGGATAACATCAAGAGATGGACGAACAGCAGTATGAGTGAGTGTACATCAAGGGCAAGAGACAGGGCTTGTTAAAGATCCATTGCAGCCAACCTTCATTGTGGAGACGGCACCTGATTGATTGATTGATTTATCCACTTGGACAGGCACAACAGGATACTGAACATGTACTGCAGACGTGCTCGCTACATTCAAAACCGCGATCCCAGGCTTGGCCAGTTGTCATTCCAACAGAAACCAAGCTGTGTAGAACAGTGGGAAGACATGCATCGCACCACATACTTCATAGAGGCCTGTGGTCTTTTCCTCTGAAAGCCATGGGCACAGAGAGTGAAAAAAATGGGTTCTTTATTAATATACTGCCTCCCAGATGACGTCACAGGACAGTCCAACAATTTAGAGGGTGATAAGACTAGGTTTCACAGCTTTCTGATGCTTTTAACGATCCCAAAACATCTAGAACTGGCCCTAACCCAAACTCAGCTACGTCACGCGAGAGAGTGCAGCCTAGTGTCACAGTGTGGGGGGTGTGTACATTTTAAAGAGGGGATAGAAGAAGAAGAGAAGATATAAAAGTAGAGAGAGACAGACGAGAAGAAATAATAGTTAAAGGATGTATAAGAGGACAATAGGTTCTCCTGTGTGGAGAGTGTAGTAATAAGTCTACACCCCAAACGATCAGGTAATAGTCAGTGGAGGTCTTATGAAGAAGAGAGTAGATATATAGTAAAGTGGTGGTGGTATAAAGACTACAGAGACTAACAATATTAGTACCACTCCTATACTCAACAAACTAACGATGGAATAAAAGAATAACAACTAACAATCATGTTTATTAAGAAACAGCATTACAAAGTCGTCTATCTCATGTTACACAACCGACAGATGTTATATTATGTTATAAACAGAACGTCCTCACGCTATAAAACTCAGCAACTGACAGCAGAATCCACTCAACGATAAACTAGCAAATGACGCCTAGAGTATCCTTCATTGCTCCACAAATAATAAGCCAAATAACAACTACAATCTAGCCATCTACTCTAATGCCAAATACCGACTACCATCTAGCCATACTGCTGATTGCAGTCTAGATACCATCTAACTATAGCTGATTGCAGTCCAAAGACCAGCTAGCCTATTTAGCCAACCCGGCACACCATGACAGAAACTGCCATGTCACCTGTTAAATATATTCAAACAATCTATAAGTTCACATTGCCAAGCATATAAACGTGAACGCAACAACATACATCTTATTCTACCCTGCAAACAACTGCCTTTCTTCATACGAATAGTTCTCCCTTTAAACAGGCATTCTGATAGCCTTGAATAAACCTCCATCCACTAACCCACATGTACTTCTTATTCAACACATATGACTATGTATAACCATACATGCACTATTTACTTTTACCACATGAATGCCCATGCATTTCCTCCTCAAAAACAACAACAGTCCGGCTACAGACCATGGCCTTGCATCCCCCACTCACTTCAACATCTGATACTTCTGTCCCGCCCCTTTACAGGTAAATTCTATTATATCCGTGTGCTCCCTTCTCAGCAGCTTGCCGAGGACAGTTAAAGCTAAATGACTTTCACTTTCCCATATCTTCTTATATCATTCTCTCTTCAAATCACAACTAAATGTTTACAACATTATTACTGCATCATGTTAATACTCATGGCGTATCATTCCATAGCAGCGCTAACGCTGCTGTTCAATATGATACTTCACACGTCATGCTTATCTGTTATCATGACCATCACCATCATGTGCTGTGCCGGTCTTCCAGTAGTTATTATGTCTTCTAACAGAAGCCTATATTCTTCATGACAACCATGACTATACATACACAATTATACATCTTATGACATCAGTGCCCGCTGCTTTCCTCCTGTATCACAATCAAAACATCGCAGACAGTCTGGCCGTTAGAAAGGGTCATTCTAGGGCTAGCCTGTTTATTCACCAAACCACTCTCTCTCTACCTGTGAAATACGATATTGGGCCTCTGACCTAAATAAGAGGGCAGCCTCCCGTATGCTGCATGCACAAAACGTTTCTCGTTGTTGTTCCAAGAAGATGTCTGCTCCCAGAAATCATTATAACATATATATGGATACTCATACTTTGCATTAATACACTTGGATCTGTCAACATGGCATCTGCTATGTCTCAGGTGTACAGTTAGACGACTCGCAAG